GGAGCATGTCGATATATTAAAGAAGAGAGGGCCAAGGACAGAGCCCTGGGGGATGCCAGATGAGACAGTGCGGGGGTTGGAGGAGAAACCGTTAGAGGCAGCGAAGTGGATACAATCACATTACTTCAAAGGTCTGGATGGCATGACAAGGCTTTATATCAAATCCAAGAATCATCCTTATTATCCTAAAATACTGTTCTTCAGTAACTGCATAGCTTCAGTTCAAAGTTCTGTTCCACCTCTGCAATTGACTGTTTCCATTAGATATCAGGGAGATGGTGAGTTTCACCTCTCTCTTACTCGTGTAGGTACTCATGAGTATCAGGTCTGCTAATAGTATTATTGTGGGTAATTCTGCTTACTATTCACGTTAAATTTTTGGACCGACAGTTTTGAAATTGTTTGCGTGTCTATTTTGTCGTAGTTCATTCACACCTCAATGAGCATCTCCCCTATTGACAAAAGTATTAGATCTGCTGTTCACTAATTGAGCCAATCTTCCCACTGATCAGATGAAGGAAACTCAGATTGTTGCCTTTATCATCTTGTTTCAGAATAAGGATTTTCATCAATTGAATTTCAGAAACATTAGAGGGCTCTGGTGAGATTCCTGGCATTTCCATGCGAATCAGGAGCCTCAGGGCATAAATATACCATTTTAAAAAATTCAGGATAGATGGGTTTTCTCAGTCACAGCAGGAGCCCATGTCACACACTGAACCAAACTGAATTGAGACATCCAACTATAGTTCAGTCACAGCTGTGCCAAGTGTATGGCCTGTGGAGAGATACATATGAGGTCAAAGTGGTGCATGAAGCCTCCAGCTGTAAGCCTTTTTTCTACTTTGCCAATTTTCTCTCCTTTCCACAGCTCTCCTTATTCTTTCAAGCGTTCTGAGACACTACCCTGCATGAGGGGAGCTATTTCAATGCAAGTTGTTGTAGCTTTAATATATATATAATAATAATCCTTAGTAATCTTGCTTGGGTTTAAACTTGTTTGGGTTTGTATCCACATCTACTATCCAACCCCCACACACACAGTCCCTCTTCCAGTTGTCCCCCATTCTGAGCTTAGATGGTGAGCGTGAACAGGCTGTTGAATTGAAGGTGTCAGCCTGGTTCAGTTGGAAGGTCTCTCACCTCTGAGTCAGAAGGTCGTGGGATCAAGCCCCATGTCAGCACTTCAAACTCACATTAACATCTGTAAACCCCAATTGGTAAGTCGGAAATCCTAAACTGCAGTAAGTCCAAAATTGAGTGCCGGGCAAAATGCCAGCTGATTCCTACCACTGTTTAGGAAGNAAAAATTGGGAGAAAACTGACACTCACCTAAATGAATAGATATTATATTAAATGTTGCATGCAACCACCTTAGGCCATTTAATGGTATTTCTCGTTAAACAGGGTGACCAAAAAATCAAGATACCATTACAATGTAATTCATTAATGTAATATAAATTTACTTTGCAGTATAATCTGTGAAACACTTTGATACATCTCAAAAACGTGATAAGAAGTTATATCAAATGCAAGGATTATTATTGTATTATAATGTCTTAAAGTCTTAAAGAAATGATGATATTTTTTAGATAATAGGGAAGATATCACGACTTTTTGAACACCCTGTACAATACAAATTACATTTATATAGCGTTGTTCACATCAGGAGGATGTCTCAAAATGCTTGACATTGCTGGGTGTGGGAGCCGAGGTGAGATAAGGAAGTACATCACCAAAGGTGCTGCTCATCACGCTCAATGGAAGTTTTATCCCATAGACTGCAAGCAGGAATTTTCCCAAATTCTGCACAATCTTAAATTTCAAGACAATGGTTTTAAGGCTAAGATCTTTAGAAATATGAAAGCTTTGATCGTTCCTTTTTTAACCTCATCAACTTTAGTAAACAAAGTTAAGGCAGGTACTTTAAACGACGGACATAAAATGTGTTCAAGACTGAAATAACCACTTTCTAATGGGTGCATAAAAGCTACAATGTGGCAATGAATGGAGTCCTGTAGCTCAGTGGTTAGAGCACTCGCTTTGCAAGTGAGAGACCTGAGTTCAATCCCAGGGAGGGCGAAACCTTGGGCAAGTTTCCTTACTCCACACACCTAATAATAATCCCTCCAAAACCAAAAACAATAATAAATTGGTCATTTTCAATCTACGACTGTTTGTGGGACATTGCTGTGCGCAATTGGCTGCCGCGTTCGCCCACAAATATAGTCAATTCACTTTACAGTGTGTTCTGTGAAGCGCTTCGGGACATTCTCCCGACGTGAAAAGCGCTATATCAAATGCAAGGATTATTATTATTATTATGACTGGTAGACCAGCTCTAGGAAAAATCACTCACCCCACATGGCTCGATTGCATTTTTCTAAAAGAATTTTCTAACATAAAATGCTACCTTTATTTTTCTCTGCAGACATGCCCTTCAACTATAAAAGCTACTTTTACAATACAGGAGGACATAAAAGTTAATGTTGTGAAAACCATAAGGGGGAAAGTGCTTTACCTTATTTTTCTTCATGATTTACCCACTCCCAGAACATATGTTGTTGTAAGGAGCGGTGTGGGAAGGATGAAGGAGAGGAGTATGGGCTACTGCAGGACTTTTTTTATCTTAAAATATGTTATTACACTGTAACAACTTGAAGTGAAATGGATTTTCAGATCTGGATGAGTTTTTGAGTTGATTCGAGAGAGATCCATACACTCGGGAGCCTAAAAAGCTAAGTTACAACATATCCAAGTGGGGATTTTTTATATACCTTGTTTAAGCTTTGAGTGTCAGGCATTATTAATATCCTCGTGGGGAATGACTGTTCTGAGTTAGTGGATGTCAGTCAGGGTAACATTTGGTCTATGTGATTGAGATTTATATAGCTCCTTTCACATTGGGAGGGCTCCTGAAAGCGTCTTTGAGACATCTCAAAGAATATATTGTAAAGTGAAATGACTGTATATTTTGTCGGCGAAACAGATGGAGTGGGAGCCCAAACAGGTTGAGAGATGGGAGAGGGAGAATAGGAGACCAAAGGGTTATAAGTGCATGTGGAATCATTCTGTAGAAAGAAAGAAGGAAAATAATGTGTAGTTTAGGGTCTGATTGTATTTGAGGGGGTGCCGGGGAAGTACTTGAAGAGGAAGAAAGAGTCAGTTGGGTGTCTGGCACATGCAAAAACCCATCACCATGCTTATGGGCATCCAAACCAAACTGAGAATTCCACATCTGTATGGCACCTACACAAGGAAATGTTACCTACGTCTGTGTTGGACTATGCACTGTCTCTGCAGAGGAACACACTCTGATTACCTAATTCCGGAGAGTAATATTGCTACTACTAATAATCCTTCCATTTGATACATAATAACGCGTAATACTATTTTATGGGTGAAACATGGCAGCCAGTTGTGCACAGCAATGTCCCACAATTAACCGTCGAGTGAGTGACTGAACAATTAGGTGCATATTGGCAAGAATCAAGACTTGGGGACCTCAGAGTGAACCTTGGGATACTACTTGAGTTCAGTCAGCTAAAAATGCATCCCATTGGGAACACCGTATAGCAAGCTTTCTGTTGCTTCTCCAGCTCAGATCACCCTGCCTGTCAATGCTTTGGTTGCAGGGTTAACAGGAGTCAAGTGGGCAGAATTCCTTCCTCCTAGATCACCGGTCTGCATTTTCTAACCCCTACCAAAGAGCCTGACTGGCAGGACAATCATCAGCAGTGCCCTGGACTACTATGGACCTGCCTGGCACAGCAACTGGATTACTGAGACCACCAAAGAGGGTTGACTCAGCTCCAACATTCTGTTTCCAAACACATTATCATTGAGCCAGTTCAGCTCCAAAGAGACATGCCTTGCTTCTTCTAAAAGTGGATTACAGCAGGCTCCTCGGATTGCTAGAATCAATAACTCCTCCAGATCAATTAACCAACAAAGTGAAATATAGTTAACGTTTAAACAAAGTTAATTTATAATAAAACTACTAACTACTGGAACTATAATAAGGTTGGAATTGGATTGATACCAAGGATGAGGGACTTCAATTATGTGGAAAAACTGGAGAGGCTGGGATCGTTCTACTTAGAGCAGAGAAGGTTGAGGGGAGATTTAATAGAGGTGTTCAAAATTTGGAGAGGTTTTGATAGAGTAAATAGGGAGAAACTGTTTACTCTGGCAGTTGGGTCGGTAACCGAGGGACACAGATTTAAGATAATTGACAAAAGTACCAAAGGGGAGAAGAGGAGACTTTTTTTTACACAGAGAGTTGTAATAGACTGGAATGCATTGCCTGAAAGGATATAATAATAATAATAATAATAATCTTTGGATTTGATATAGTGCCTTATCATATCTCTGAGATATCTCACAGCGCTTCACAGAATATACTGTGAAGCTAATTGACTATTTGTATTTGAGCAAAATGCATGCGGGTAATGGAAGCAGTTTTTATAGTAGGTTTCAGAAGGGAATTGGATAGGTACTTTAAAAGGAAAAAATTGCAGGGCTATGGGATAAGAGTGGGGAGTGGGACTAGTTGGCATCCCCCTGTGCTGCAAGATTCGATGAATTTATAGTTGTGAAGTTCGTTTCAGCTTTGCATTCCTGGGTTTCTCCAGGGAGAGAGGAAGAAAGCAGCTTCATGTCCAAATGTTTCTCATAACTTCCTTAGTTTATGAAAATGACATTGGATAAAGTATTGGGCAGCGCAAATTGATATTCTCAACAGTTATACATTCATCAAGCTAGAATTTCAATAAGCAAGTAGGAAGCATTGACATTTTGTTCACAAGCAAAATAAATCAATAAATCATATTGAATTGTTTGCTTGCCATAATTAGCACTGATCCAGAGACTCTGTTCAAGTGGATTACATACTGTATTGTTATCACACTTGTTATCATACAGTAATTGTCTGTACAGTCATTGTGAGTGCTCTCACGACTTTGTATAATTTTGGTTTTCCTTTCTTCTCTCTGTTAAAGTGAAAAAGGCCATTGAGCTGAAGTCGAGAGGAGTAAAAATGCTTCCCAGCAAGGACAGCAGCCACAAGAACTCTGTGTGTAAGTTATTTTTTCTTTTGCAATTGCCATTCAACACTGTGCCAAAGGATTGCTCCGACATGTTAATTCTGATGTGAAATCTGGATATACCAGATCAGAAAATGATCAGATAAAAATGAATTACAGTAAAAGTGAATATACGGAGGTCAGAAATTATATGGTCATGTTAAGCACCCCCCCCAATGAAAATCGCAATATATGTAAATTGTATGTTGAAAGTGAATATACCAGGTTATAAATTATGTTCATCCTCCTATATATATATATATATTATACGTGTGTGGAAATTGTGTGTTGAAAGTGAATATACTAGATCAGAAATGATCAATTTCGTTCACAGTAAAAGTGAATACCTGGTCAAAAATCCACCTCATGGGTTTTTATATGACTATGGCTTCTGCATTTGTTAAAAAAACAGTCACTATGGTATCTCGTCATTGGTTTGAGATGTTTCAACATCATAAGGTAGGAACATAGGAACTGCTAGACGGAAAAAGACCAAGGTCCATGAAGTCCACCTTCTACCATTCTGGCAGTTGCATGCTGCAATAATGGAGATGTTGATAGCAACTAATTTTGTATAGATTAGTCTACCATCTCAGTGGAAAGTTTCAGAAACCTTAGACCCAAGGCGCTATAACAACTTTAATTCTTTCATCCTTATATTTACCATTCATGAATTATTGAAACTGCATTCACTTGACAGTTTCCAAAAGGTCAAAAAATATTTATTTTATGTCGAATAAACAGAAATCTTTTGATTGTGAAAATGCTACATTTAAATTGCTCTCTTTCATAGATTTTTATGTCTCTTTGGAATAAATCAAGGCAAATCAATGTCAGCATGACCCAGTTGCCTCTGGGTCAGAAGGTTGTGGGTTTACAACTACAAATTACATTCATATAGCACCTTTCATATCGGGAGGACATCCCAAGATGCTGAAGAATGAGCGGTTTTCACCCAATCTGTGAGTTGGGATCAGAGAGAGGTGGAGGGCAAGAGGAGTGAGGGAGGGAAGATGATCGAATTTAAAACATTTGAATTGGTACTTGGAACTATATGGGTTCCAAGTCCTGATGTGGGATTTGAACCCATAATCTGCTGACTCAGAAGCGAGGGTGCTACCAGCTGAGCCAGACTGATATGCCAGGTATTAGACTACAGTGATGGTGGAGCGGGGTGTGAGAATTTGTCCCCGCTCTCCACGCCACCCTAACTGTCCAAGCTTTCAGATTCTACACCCTTAACTTCTTCAACTCCCTTCCTCTACCCCTGCATCTCATCCCCTCTCTGTCTTTAAATCTTGTCTTAAAATTAAAAACTCATTGATAGAGCCTATGATCTTCTCTCCATCCCATCCCCACATATCACTTGCTTGGCATCTGATCCCATCTTTAAAAGCACTAGGAAATGTTATCCTATGTGAAAGGCTGTATACAAAAGGAAGTTATTGCTGTTTTAGTGCATTAAGCACAACAGCAAAGTGAGCAAGCATTTGACAGCTGAAAGAGCATCAGGTTTCAGTGAACATAAGGGAAATCAGAGACATGTTGGTAATTCCTGGTCCTAGCGCTGAATGGCAAAAAAATATTAACATGGTTTGCTGTAACAGATGGTAATGTGAACATTGAGTCAGATGTTCAGTTTAGTCAAAAGTAATATTATGATGGCAACACAATTCTCAGGATTAGCTGCGTTCTGTTCACACGACAATGAAAATGGAACCGTCAGAAATCTAGAGACGATCAAAACCCTGTCGCCCACGTTCTCACCCGCACCAAACTCCACTCCCCGATCACCCCAGTCCTTGCCAGACTGCACTGGCTGCCTGTCCCAGAGAGGATTGACTTCAAGATCCTCACCCTTGTCTTCAAATCCCTCCACTCCTCTGCACCCTCCTACCAGTCTGACCTCCTCTCTCCTCGAAACAGTGCCCATTCCCTTCGTTCCACTGGGTCTGGCCTCCTCCTTGTCCCCTAAGTCCTCCGCTCCACCCTCGGCGGCCATGCCTTCAGCCACTATGCTCTGAGGCTTTAGAACTCCCTTCCTCACTCCTTTCGCCTCGCTCCATTTCTTCCTATTTTCTATCTCCTATCTCTGCTGAAAACCTTTCTTTTCGATCACGCTTTTGGTCACCTTCCTCTCCCTCCCCCTGGCTTGGCCCCGGGATCCGTTACTGTGAAGCTCTCTGAGATGCCGTCCGGAGTGGAGGGCGCTGTATAAATTCAAGTTGCTGTTGTTGTTGTTGATCAAAAGCCAAAGAGTATAGTATAATTATAACCACTACATTTGATGTAGTACCTATAATAAATAATATAACTGTAAATAATCTTTGCATTTGATATACTGTATTGGTAAGCAAATATGACGACCAATTTGCAAACAGCAAGGTCCCTCAAACAGCAATCAAGTGATTGATCAATTTTACCTATGGGATTACTAGCAAGGACACTGAGAGAAGTTCTCTTTTCATGTAGTGTGATGGGATCTTTCACATCCAACTAGGCAGGCAGTCAAGACCTCAGTTTAACATTTATTCCAAAGCACGTTGCCTCCAATAATGCATTGTTCCCCAGTACAACACTTGTGTGAGCCTAGACTGTGAACAAAAAGTTGAGACATATTGAACCCACAACCTTCTGATCCAGAGACAAGAGTGTGACCAAATAGGTTGTCTGTTGTGTAGCCCTAGTGTAATTACTAGGTGTAATTACTTGAGTAATTACTAGCACCAATAATGGGTTTCGAAAAATGCTCCATAAGAAGTGGTAGAAATTTAAAATCCGTAAACATCCACAGTCATCTACTGCAGGAATGTCATGTTTAGTGCAGCCCTATTGCAACTTGCTTCTTTATCATATGGATTTAATTGTACTGTGGTTTCGCTGTGGACCCCATCCACTGAAAGTGTGTGTAGCCAACCTTGTCACTTTCCCATGCATCAGCCACCTTCTGCACAAAAATGGGCATCTTCTGTCTAGGCCAATAGATCGCCAATGGCATCACTTCCTGTTTGCTGCACATGACAAAGACATTGAGAGGAGTGTGAAGGTGGTTTTGTTCATTCAGTATCAGATGAGTTGCACAAGCTGGGATTGAGTCCATCAGAGAGACATTTGTATCCATTATCGGTTGGAATTGCTGTAAGGTTACAGCCTTGGCTCGATCATGCTGAAAGCAAGGACACAGCCCATTTTGTTCTTATTGTTAAAGCTGCATTTAAATTGCCAGATGGAATGCAGCCACACTTAGGATGCTGTCACACTTGCATCAAAGATATTTCTAACAGCAACAATTTGCTCTTCCATGTAGCTAGGATGTCTCAGAGCACTTTACAAAGAGGGAGCGGGAACTCTTCACAAAGAATGAGTTAGGAACAATGAGAGGGAGGTGCAGAAGGTACAGTCGAAAAGATAGCTCTTTGGATTAGTTATCAAAGCATAGAGGGAGGGGGCAAGATGGAGGGATTTCCAGAACCGAGCTACAGAGACTGGGATCAAACAACAATAACTTGCATGTTTATGGCCCTCTTTATGTGAACGCTTACCAATGGTAGAGACTAATGCTAACCTGGGGAGAGAAAAGGTGACCATAGGCACGGTCAAGGAAGAGGAAGGTCTTCAGATGCAATCTGAAGATGGGAAGGAGGGTAAGGCAGAGGGATTGATTCAGAAAGGTATAATATTCTGGGGCATAGTGGCTGAAAGCATGGCCACCGATGGTGGAGGGACATGCAGGAGATGGAAGTCAGTTGAGTGATGGGTTGGGTAGAGGAGTGGGGTGTAAGTAGGTCAGAGGGATAATGAGATTATAGGGCATTAAGCAAATTGTAAGTTAATGTTAGGATCTTGAAATCAATCTGTAAATCAGTCTGACAAAGTGTCTGAAAGCTCGCTTGCCAAATGTGGGGCGGAGCAGGTGGGAAGCATGAAGCAGGCTGGAGCTAGCAATGCACGGAGAGAAGGATGGCGGGAGATCATAGAGGTACAACAAATCAGATACCCATGTGCTATTGTGCAGATATGTTGTAGGTGATCAACTGGAATGAAAATTGCAATGTGTTATCTAATACATTAATGGAGAACATGGCAAATCAAAGGCCATTCCAGCCAAAAGGAAATTCCATTGCCTTTCTGAAGTTCTCAGTCTGGATTGAATACTGTTAAGTATCAGACTCCCGGCTGACAAAATAAATCTTGACTTGTTCTCAGGTATGAATACCACCTCCAACCACCCCCACCCCCCACCTGCAACTCCAACACAGTGGCTAGCCATAGAATAAAGTGTGATATTTCAGTTAGTAAGATACTGCACTGGTTTAACTCAACAAAGGATTCAGGTGTAATCCAAAATCTCACCCTCCACCACCTTCAGCAATTGTTTAGTTACATTTTAACCTTTTATTTTCGTTTTGGTTTAAGCTTATGTTTAATATTACACAACAACAACAAAGATGCCCTGAATATAGGTAGGACACCATCTCGGAGGACTGCATTGTGGTGGGGATGGACACTGAGCAAGCGAGAATGGGAGGTGACCAGAAGCGCGGTCAAAGAGGTGGGTTTTAAGGTGTTATTTAAAGATGGATAAAAGGGGCGAGGTGGAAGGATTGAAACCGGGAGTTTCAGAGGTTAAGTCAGGACAGTTGCAAAAAATTAAGGTACAGATCAGCCATGATTTAGTAGAATGGTGGAACAGGATCGAGGAGCTGAATGGAATGCTTCTGTTGCTATGTTCCCAGTATTCAAGTGGCTTTCACACTGTGATTGCAGTACCAGTTACATCATCGAGGTGCATGAGCTGAAAATCAAAAATAATAACAATAATAATAATAATCCTTGCATTTGATATAGCTCTTTTCACGTCTTCTAGACGTCTCAAAGAGCTTCACAGAATATACTGTAAAGTAAATTACTGTATATTTGTGGGCGAAACGCAGCAGCCAATTGCGCACAGCAGTGTCCCACAAACAGTCGTGGATTGAAAATTGCCAATTTAC